ATGCCCGAAATAACAACACACAAACTGTATTCATTTAAACACCGCTTGGCCCATGAACTCTAGCCCTTACAGGCTAATTCTCGCACCTGGACTAGCCCATTTCTAATGATGTGTGTAAGCACCCCAAGGTGCGCTTACCGGGAAGATTCTAGGTCCGTCCATCCTGGGTCAGAGCTGCCTGGGAGAGCGGAGCCAGCCTGGCATCTCTGCTCCAAAGAGCAGAGCTGTGGAGTCTACCCGTCTACCCGGGAGAGCTGAGCATGGCGTCTCTGCTCCAGCAGAGCTGTCGGGTCTCTCTGGGAACAGAGCAGAGTCTGACCTCACTTCCTCTTCCGCCCAGAATTCTATTCTGTTTATTCCGCCCACCTATCTTTCAACCTATCAGGGCCAGCAGTTTCTTTATTGCTCAATGACCTTCCTCCATCAGGAGACGGCTCCCAGCTCAGTCTGCAGTCACCCAGCCTTGGTAGAGGTGAGACTTCTCTAGTGGCTTGGCTGCTTTGCTTTTCTGATCTTCAGCTTGAACCCCAATATCTGTCTCTGGGTTTTTATTACTCATATCACACACAGAAACACGGCAATAACAATAAGTGATATAGATCTAACAATAGTGACTACAGCCTACGCCACCGCATTCTTTCTACTCATTGAGGGATCGTTTTAACATTTGTGGCAACGCTCAGTGGGAAGACCTAAAGTTAATATATAAGGAAACTGAGGCACAGAGAGGTTGGCCTGAGCTGGGTTGATTATGGAACATAGTTCTTTTTATTGTTGTTGCTGTTTGTTTGTTTTGTTTTGGGAGACTGCTCTATGCAGCAGCCTTGACTGTCCTGGAACTTGCTCTGTAGACCAGGCTGGCCTTGAACTCGCAGAGATCCACCTGCCTCTGCCTTTGCCTCTGCCTCCTGAATGCTAGGATTAAGAGCCTGTGCCATCACCACCTGGCCATAGTTTTTTTCTTTTTCTTTTTTATTTTCAAGACAGAGTTTCTCCGTAGCTTTTTGATTCCTGTCCTGGAACTAGCTCTGTAGACCAGGCTGGCCTCGAACTCACAGAGATCCGCCTGCCTCTGCCTCCCGAGTGCTGGGATTAAAGGCGTGCGCCACCACCACCCGGCCATAGTTTTTTTCTTAAAATTTAGTTCTTTGAGAATATTTTACAGTGTATTTTGATGGTATTCACCCCAACTTCTTTCAGATCCACTCCACACACATCCAACTTAGTATACTCATCAAAATCCCAACACAATCCTTCATAGAAATGGAAAAACAATCCTAAACTTTACTTGGAAACACAGAAAGCTTAGGATATATAAAGTGATTTTTAATAATAAAAGAACTGCTGGAGGGACCAGCATCCTACATCTCAAGCTGCACCACAGAGCTATAGCAACAAAAACAGCATGGTTGTCAATCAGACATGCCGATCAACAGGATTGAAGACTTAGAAATAATTTTACACACACACACATCTATGGACAACTGTAGTGAGAGGAGTGGGCTGCTTCCTGCCACCTGGCTAGCTTAGCCCCTGAAATAACCACCTGGAAATTGTATTAATTAAATTACTGCCTGGCCCATTATATCTACCTCTTCTTGGCTAACTCTCACATCTTGATTCAACCCATTTCTAATAATCTGTGTAGCACCATAAGGTCGTGGCTTACTGGGAGAGATTCTAACTTATGTCCATCTCAGGCCAGGGATTCATGGCATCTTCCACACTTCCCTTCTTTCCAGCATTCTGTTCTGTCTACTCTGTCCACCTAAGGGCTGCCCTATCAAAAGGCCAAGGCAGTTTCTTTATTCAACCAATGAAAAGCAACACAAATACAGAAAAACCTCCCACACCAGACACCTGATTTTTTTTATTTTTTTTAAATTTTATTTTGAAACAATCTTTTCTCATTTTACATATGAATTCCAATTTCCACTCCCTTCCCTCTCTCTTCCTCCACCTTTCCCTCTGACCCCACTCCCCATCAACTCTTGAGAGAGGGTAAGGCTTTCCATGGGGAGTCAATAAAATCTGACATATCACTTTGAGGCAAGACCAAGGCCCTCCCCACTGTATCTAGGCTGAGCAAGGAATCCCTCCAAAGAGAATGGGCTTCAAAAAACCAGTCCAAGCACTAGGGATAAATCCGGATCCCATTGTCAGTGGCCCCACAGACTGTGACCCAAATTCAGAGGGCCTACTTTTGTCTTATGCAGGTTCCACCATGGACACCTGATTTTTGACAAAGAAGCCAAAAAATTTACAATGTAAGAAAGATGACAATTTCGACAAATAATGCTGGTCAAACTGGTTAGCTGCTTGTAAAAGAAGCCACCACCAGGAGGTGGCGGTGCACGCCTTTAATCCTAGTATGTGGGAGGAAGAGGCAGGCAGGTGTCTGTGAGTTTGAGGCCAGCCTAGTCTAGAAAGCAAGTTCCAGGACAGCCAGGGCTACACAGAGAAGCCCTGTCTCAAAAACCCAAATGTGTGTGTGTGTGTGTGTGTGTGTGTGTACCCACATCTATCACCCTGCACAAAACTCTTTTGTTTTAAATCCATCAAGCAGTCTGTGTTGTGCATATACCCTTAGATACACGGCCTCGCACTGGCATACGCTTGACCTTCCAGGGACCACACTGACTCTCCTCTCCCCACTGTCCTAGGCTGTGATAGCTCCGTGGCTGAGGGTGGGACCTCATGCCCACCTCCACTGTCTACACCAGGATCCTGCCTGGCTTGAGCTGTCACAGCCATGTCTGTTTGCACGTTCATCTGCCTCACTGTGTGCAGAGAACACTGTTTGCTTAGAGCTATCACTGCCTCTGGTTTGTACACTCTCTCCTCCCCGTCTTCCACAATGATCCCCGAGCCTTGGGAGGAAGTAGTGCTGCACCGATGTGACAGTTAGGGCTAAGCAATCTTCAGTCTCACTTTCTCTGTATCTTGACATTCCCATTGTGTTTCATCTGTCAGGGAGCCATTGTCATAGTATTATATTAGGCAATGTCTATACCAGAAGGGTTTGTGGCTCTATAGTATCTATATCTATGCCATCAAAAACATTTCCTGTTGTACATTGTAACAAAATTAAATCCAATGATTGAATGAGCCTACAGACTCTAAAGTTAGTATTGTATTTTCGTGAATATTAGTTTCACCTTAATAATTTTAAAATACATGCACACCAAATAAGACATTAAAATGTCTAATGACAAATCATTGTAAGATGTACTACATCTATTAGCAGTGAATTAGTAATGACACACAGTGTGTGTTACTAACTTCTCATGGGTGGACTTCCTGTTTCAGCGGAATGTCTGTAGGGTTAGCAAGATATTACCAAGGTCTCCATGAATAGTGGAGCACTCTTTGTGTTCCAGATTGCTTGATTTCCTGTTGCTCTGTTCCTTCCTAGGTCACATGGGTCTCTAGCAAGTCTGTGCAGCCTTACTCTGCATACCCACTCCAGGGCAGGCAAGCCTGAGAGGCAGACTAGGAATGCTTCAGCCCACATCTGTATACCAATGTGTTGTGTATGGAACCTTCAGCGCCTGTCTCTAGGGGGGCTGCCATCAGGCCTATGACACAAGCCTCTGGGCTCTGTTTGTGAGGCCTCCTTGCCTCCGAGTGTCCCTCACGTCTCTCATCTTGCTGAGCAAACAAAACACGGTAAGGCTGATTCTCATTTGCTCCTTTGACATAGTTCTCTACTGGGCTGTGAGCACACGGGTTTTCTAATAGGGTTCTTCCTTGATGATAATCTGGCACATTGTTGGGGGTCAGTACCTGTTTTTTGAACAAATGAATAAAGGTTTGTGTATGTATTAGAGACAAAAAATAATATTTTGGAAGACTTATTTATGAAGGTTTTTTTTTTTTTTGAGGCAGGGTCTCTGCTTCAACTCATGTTGTAAGAGTATAATCTTGAACTTCTGGTCCTCCTGCTTCCAACTCGTGAGTGTTGGATGACCCACAGTTATCAGCATCCCTGGTTTACGTGGTGCTGGGGATCAAGCCCAGGGCTTCATGCATGCCAGACAGGCACTCTACCAACTAAGACACTCTTCAGCCCTTGGCCTGAGATTTGTAAGAAATCTCTATGTAAAGCCATGTTGGTTCAACTTTTCCATTAAGAACCAATCTGCAAAAACCTCTTGCAGGAAAAAGCAGTGAGGTTAGGAGCACAGGGATGGTACCCAGTGAAGGGCTGCTTCTGACCTGGATGGATGTGGTTGACTCTCAGTAGGATGCTGATAACCTTGTCTGGATAAGTGGTTGTTGTAAAGCTAAGGGGCCCTTGTTATAAAATGTTTGGGTAAATGAAGCCTTTGATGAAGGTGTCTTCTTTCCACAAATGGCGTGACAGATGACGGGCAGATGTGGCATCTTTACATGAGAACCATCCGTAGGAAGAAGTGTTAGTGTGTGAGAACCACGTTCTCTGTCTAGGTGCTTCTTTCATTAGGGTTTATTGCAGTATCGCTTACTCCACGCCTTTATGAAGCATGGCAGAGGTGCGGCTGGGGGACATAAAACACGGTAGACTCGGGGTTCTTCAGGAGCCTGCTGCACAGGGTGAACCAGCAGGACAGCAGCACAGCAGACACACCAGGGATCAGGGATTTTATGGGAGATGTTCCTCAGTGAGCTGGTTAGAACAAACACCGTGGAGGAGGTGCACGCTGGCGACTAGAGAAGAGAAATGGAGAACTTTGAACAAGCCTTGGGAATGAAAACTCATGGTACTAACATGGAACTGGCAAAGTATTTGGCTAGCACAAGGGCAGGATGTAGCTAGGAGCCTACAGAGGTGCAGCTCTAGGGAGACGCAGGCTGTGTGCAGCTGGGGAGGGTAGAGAATGGCGACCACACTGGACAGTTTAGACAGAAATGACAACTTGCTTGGGAAATGCTGAGCACAGCCCCCACATGGGAAACTGAGAAGAGACTCGGGCAGCACGGTGATGTGGAATTGCTGGCAGTTAAAACACACCGTGGAGCCTACATTGCTTGTTGGGCAGTGTGTCCCAGAGAATGCAAGACAAAAGTAATTTTGTTGAATTAATATTGAAAAAGAAACTAATTTAAATAATATATTTATGAATCAATCCCAGTTTCATTCAAATATAAATTCATGACAGATAAGCATTAAATGAGTAGGAAATCATTAATAAAATATTTAACAGTTTTTCTCATACAAGCCTTTGAATTCCTAAGTTAGTTGTCAAGTTTTCGCTGAAAATACTTGATTTGTACTTGGATGTTGCATAATTAATAGCTGAAAAGTCTTTTTGCACAGTGAAGTCTTCCGTGTTTCACTATTACTGAACAGAGAATCACTTATTAAGTTTAATGCAACATTTAAAATGTAAAACTACAAGCCAGGCTGTGGTGGCTCACGGCTTTAATCCCAACACTCTGGAGGCAGAGGCAGGCAGATCTCTGTGATCTGTGAGCAAAAACAAAACAACAACAATAACAAAAAATAAAACTACAGCTTCTCCGTTATTCTAATCATTTAATGAGTGTTCAGCAGCCTCCTGAGCCAGTGGAAGCCATATTGAACGGCTCAGGTTTAGAAGCTTGTCCTGGGGAGGTAGTTGTGGAAAAAAGAGGATGAATGAGGGAATATTTTATTTGCGTTTGGAAAAAATAGGAAGACAGGGTCTTACTCTGTAGCCCCAGAATTTACCATGTAGTTCAGGCTGCCTTCAGACTCAAATGATTCAATCTCCTGCCTCATCCTAACTCCTGCTGGTATTGCGGGTTTGAGCCAGTTTATTCAGATTGTGAATAGAGTAATCTTCCAGTCTCAATTATCTTAGATATACTAAAGAACAGAGCGAGAGCATGTTCATTGTAGAGAGAGGGAGGGAAAGAGGCTGGAAAAGAGAGAGGGAGGTGTAAGTCCCAAGTCCTGGTCTCTGGCCTCCATCTATGGAGGTCCCATCCCTGTGCCCACCAAGCCTTGACCCCTCCTCGGAGGAGTGTCAAGACAGCCCGCCAAAATCTTGACCACTCCCCCAGTCTATTTAAACTGCTTCCCGGGAAAGGTCCTGCTTGGTCTCTTTCCTCTCTCCTACTGGTGGGCGAGTTCGGGCTTCCCACTTTCCCCTCGGGGGTCACCCGAGAAAGTAGGAATCCCATTAAACCTGGATATTTTTTAATTTGGCTTGACTGGGATTTTTGCGTTGGCAGAGAGCTCTCATTAGGAAAATTCATAACGTCTTGGAGGTCCCACTGGGTAGGGCGGCCTTTCCCACAACCTAAGGCCACACGTTGGAAGCCCCCTAGTACACACTCTGAGCTCTCTCTCCACACCACGCTAAAAACCGTCTCCTGGGCTACAGTGGCTTCATCTTGGCGAGTCCCTTTTTGTTTTCCATGCTATAGGGTTTTGGGGGAACCATTTGTACTTACTTTTGTCGATTATCGGACTCTTGTGGAAGCTGCGGGCCCACACCAACAGTTTCATCTCAGCTCAGCGGCTAGACCGGCAAGACCGGGTCTAGCTGAGATGGACTTTGTTTGCTTTTGGGATGCCTAGCATTCAATTTCCATGACCCCGTTAGGCCTAAGAGCTATTTTGGTAGACACACTGTAATAGACTTAGGTGATGCGGTTGGGCATAGACTTTAAAATGGGCACTTGCAGTTCAAAGCCAGATCCACTGTTGCCCCTGGGATGCCTCTTACAAAATCTTTATAAATTGGGGCTGTCTGACATATGTTCATGGTTTTGGGGCTCTGCGTTCTTGCCCTTCCCTTAGTAGCCAGTGTCTCGTGGCACCGGTCTTGGTAGCTAAGGCCCTAAAGTCTCTGTGTCCCGAGTGCTGGGATTAAAGGCGTGCACCACCACCCACCTGGTTGGGAGGCTTTTAATGACTGCTTCTGTTTCCTTTGGGGTTATAAATCTGTTAAAATTGTTTAACTGACCTTGGTTTAATTTTGGTATATGCTATCTATCAAGAAATTTGTCCAATTCTTTTAGATTTTCCAACTTTGTGGAGTATAGGTTTTTGAACTATGACCTAATTATTCTCAGGATTTCCCCAGTGTCTGCTGTCATGGCCTCCTTTTTGTTTCTGATTTTTTTTCTTTCACTGTGTCCCATAAGTTTAGAGAACCCAACGATACCACTCTTGGGCATATACCGAAAGGATACTTAATCGTACCACAAAGACACTTGTTCAACTTGTTCATAGCAACTTTGTTTGTAATATCCAGAAACTGGAAACAAGCTAGACACCCCTCAACCGAAGAATGGATAAAGAAAATGTGGTATAATTTACACAATGAAGTATTATTCAGCTGTCAAAAACAATGGTATCAGAAAATTTGAAGGCAAAAGAATAAAACTAGAAAAAATTATCCTGAGTGAGGTAGCCCAGACCTGGAAAGATAAACATGGTGTGTGCTCACTCATAAGTGGATATTAACTGTAAAGTAAAGAATAACAATTGTAAAATCCACAGGCCCAATGAGGCTAGGTAACAAGGAGGACCCAAAGCGGGTACAAATGGATCTTCTTGGGAAGGGGAAATACAGAAGATCTCCTGGGTGGACTGGGGATGGGTGGGAATGGGAACTTGAGGGATCTGGTTGGGAGGTGGGCAGAGGAGGGGGTGCTGAGAGATAACTGGAAAGGAGGCCTTTATGGGGTTCAGTAGAAGCACGATGCAAGGGAAACTTCCACTGAGCCTATGTGGATGGCCCCAGCTAAGACTCCTGGCAGCAGTCA